GATTTGGTATCGGCTCAGTTTGGTGGAAACATTCGCCGAGGTGGAGAATTGAAGAAATACAGGAAATAATAGAAGAATCAGCTAGACAGACTGGCGGTCGACTGCCGCGGTCGACCGCAAACGTGCACGAAGGCAAGTAGGATTCGGAGCTGGTGGCGGTCGACCGTCACGGTCGACCGCAGATGACTGTAATTGTTTTTACTCTCGGGTTTCGCGGTCGACCGCCGCGGTCGACCGCAGTCTGTTTGGGCTGGGCCTTTTGGTTTTTGACCCGGTTCGTTTTTGGGTTTATATATAACTCAAACCTGATTGATTAGGGTAATGTAAGGACGATTTTGAGCAATTTTTGAGAGAGGATTATTGCATCCAATTGTGGGAGAGTTATGAGAGATCTAGAGCTTTGTTTTAGGGTTTGATCGGTGAGATTTGTAACTCTACTTGTATTCTCTGATTTCTAATAGTAAGAACTCCCCCCCTCCTTGCCCCGTGGACGTAGGCAACTTGCCGAACCATGTAAATCGTTTGTTCTTGCTGTGGTTGTGTTTTGCATATTAGTTGTGCTTTATCTCGAGTTATTGTTCGTGTTGCACAAGAAAGCTTCCGCCTTGCACAACACAATATAATTAATTATTTTAAAATAATCTAATCTAATCTAATAATAAGAAAATAAATGAAAGTACTGTGAAAGTTGTTACAATTTTATAATTCATAATTCTTAAATAATCTAATCTATTCTAATAAGAAGAAAATGACAAATACACATACTTGTTGAAGGAGATAAAAGTACTATGAAAATTAGTGTAATTTCTTGATCTGGAAAAAAGATCAAATATATAATATAATTAATTGCTTTAAAATAATCTAATCTAATCTAATAACAAAGGTAAATGCATGTAGAAGGAGATAAAAGTGCTATAGAAATTATTATAATTTCTTGGCTTATATATATTGGTATATATATGATGTTACATGTGAGAGGATAACAATTATAAATAAAGTTCTATTTAAATAATAATAGTATAATTAAAATTTAAAACTAACTATGCAGTACTTTGAACTATTTTAATTTTAGTCGATGAGAGATTGCCACTTTGTGTGTAATTATTAATCATATAGCATGTGAATAATTGTTTGTAGATTGGCATTATTGATCATGTAGCACGTGAATAATTATTTACAGTTTGATCATTGATCACATATAAGAGTGAGGGGGTAAATTTGATATTTATTAAATCATCTAATTAACTTAAGCGTACCGTGAACTACTTGAATTTTAGTCGGTGAGAGATCGTTATGATGTGTGTAATTATTAATTATATAACATGTGACTAATTGCTATCAGTTTGGCATAATTAATCATGCAGCACATGAATAATTGTTTACAGTTTGATCATTGATCACATATAAGAGCGAGAGGGTAAATTTGGCATTTAATGAATCGTCTAATTTACCTAAGTTTCTCTTTCATTTAGGTTTACATTTCAATTTAAACTATATTCTTATCTTCATACTATGTATATCCATTAAGAATTCATCAATTTATCAACTTAATCTTACTTAATGGATTAATATTTGAATTCCAATGGTATTTTTGTCTACTAAAAAATTTTCTCAAACTCGTGCTTTTAAAGAGAATACTAGTTTTTACACACGTGCAATGCACGTGATTTAATACCATGATTAAGTATTTTTGGCAGTTTGTGCTCATTTTTTCTTTAAACTCTTACATCCCGACTATTTTTTTATGTTTGTTTAAATGAGATACTACCAATTTAAATTTTCATGTTGATATTTGAATTGACAAAAAACAAATATAATTTAAAAATAATTTGAATTTTCATATTATTTTTGACCGATATGAAACTAAGCTTTATTTGAGAAAGTATAGCATTGCAAAGTGAAAAATATTAAAATAGTGTTATACAAGGAAGGTGAATATTTAAAACCAATATGGCAAAATGATTGATTTAAAGTATGTTAAAACGATGCAAAAGAGAATATGAAGTTTATTCCTAATCATTGATAGACTTCATAAAAAAATATAAATTAAAGATTAATACTAACTCTAGTATACTTTTATATGATAAAAACATCCACATTAGAATATAAAAGTACTGAAAAAAATTCATGAAACTCCCTTCTAAAGATTCCTAATTTCACTCAAAATAATTAAACTATTCTATAAAATATTCATAAAATATTGTTTTTATTTCTTCTATTTTATTTTTTATTGAGTTAAGATCAATCCTTCTTCAGGTTTATCATTTATCATTTCTCGGATAATTCTAGAGTATTGTCATCATCATCTACATCAATTGTGACATCAGGCTAATTTTGTATTTTTTATGCTATTATCTTTCCTAGGCTCGTTAATTTTTTATCATCTCATTTAACTTTACAAAGAAGTCAAATGTACTTATGATGTTCAACACAAACTACTCAAAATATAGACTTTGATTTTTTTTCTATTTCAATGAGAAAAATATTAATTTCATATATATAAAATTCTTTGTGTTCCTAATTTATTACTTAAATAAATTAGAAGCTATCTCTTTATTTTCCTCTAAAATGAATTCTTCTGATGTGCATCCAATAAGAATTTCTGTTATTTCAATAATATTACCTTTGCTCTATCCCTGTCATTTTCCATAAAGATCTAAACTAAATACCTGCATTATTCATTACCAATTTCTCTTAGATTATAATATTAATATTTAATTTGAAGAACACAGTATGGAATTTATGAATACTTACTAATTTTTCTTATGTCTTCCATGGAGATTTTTTCTTTGATTAGGATAAAGTTATTAAATTATTTTTTAATGTAACTCATTCAGTGCTTCATTAATAGATATGTCTTATGTTAATGCCAATTCAAGTGATTCATTGACGTTTTCTGAATTTTAGATTTATTTCCATCACTTTCCCATTTGCAATGGAAATAACTCAATTCTTTTAAAGTTATCTCTAAATATTCTAATAGTTTCTCCATATGTAATTCCTTGTATTCTTTTACCCTATAAATATTATTAACGTCAAAGATTAAAGTTTCTAAATTAAAATCAATTAATGCTAAGGTATAATATTATAGTGTTTTATCATTTCTATGGATTTAAACATCTATCAATTAATGTTACGAATGTATTTTGGCTACCCCAACTTATTACTAAAATTATATGAAATTACTTTAATTTATATAGTGCCGATAATTTTTAATCTATAATATTTTTAAAAATTTTATCCATTAACCGGATGTTTTTAATCAATTCTTATTGTTTTTGTTTACCAGTATCAACTTAGACTATTCTTAGATGCTGAAAATGGATAGTAAATCCCTAAATTAGAAATTTTAATATATATATATATATATATATATATATATAAAAATACCAAACAATTACACTTTTTCTTTGGCCAAGTTTTAAAATTTTATGGCCCATTTTTTGTGGTTTTGAACCTTTGAGGTGTGATTTATAATTTAAATATTTTGCAAAAGTTTTTAAAAAAATTTACTTTTAAGTTTGATAGTTGTAAATTCTAATGTTTTATGTGTTGTGTAATTTTTAAATGTTAGTATAATTCTTGTAACTCTAAAATTTTGAGGGTGTCTTTTTAATATAAACTAATAATGTAAATTTAAAAATATTAATTTCAGTGTCTACCAATCGACGAATTTGATGTGTGCTAGTTAAAAATTTTGAAAATTTAGAGTTTTTTTACGATTTCTAAATTTGACAGGAGTTTTTTAAAAATTTGAAGTTTAAGTTTTGGCAAATTTTAATTTTTTCAGGGTGTCTAGAGTAATACTTTGAATTCATCTTATTTTATTTACAAATTTTAGAATTTTAGGGTGCTTTTTTAATTTTAAACTTTAAGGTGTTTCTATAATTTTTGAGATATGAGGGTGTTAATTAAAAATTTAAATTTAAAATGGTTCAAAATTTTAGGTGTATCATGTAATCTCATTGAATTCATCTGTGTTTTTGTAAGTTTTAAAAATTTAAAATTTTACTTGCTTGTTTGTAATTTGAAACTTTTGTGGGTGTTTCTAATAATTTTTGAGACAATGAGGTTTAACTGTAAATTTAAATTTTTGTGGCAAACTGAATGTAATTTTTTAATTTCATGTTTTTTATTTTAAGTTTTGAGACGCATTTGGATGAGTTTATAATTTTGAAACTTTCAGGTCTTTTCTGCAATTTAAAACTTTTTATGATTTTTTTGCATAGCTTCATGTATTATAAAATTTATTCTAACTTGTATTCTTTATCTTAACAAACTAATAATCAGTTTTATGTTTTATATATTTTAGTTAAATATTAGTTTTTCTAAATTGTTAAGTCTAAACATGGTTCACATAGGATTAGGATAAGATATACTATGATTAGATAGAATACAGATATAAATAAAATATTAAATAGTGAATTAATATTACAGCATTAAAAAATTAGGTATTTGATTATAATAAGTAGTCAAAACTATAAAGGGTATATTTTCTAAAAAAGATTTTCTGAACTCAGTCTTTAAAGGATAGATATGATATATATATATAATATATATATATATATATATATAAATATATATAATATATAAATATATAATAATATATATATATATATATAAATATTATATTAAAGAGACTATATGTGTGTGTGTGAGAGAGAGAGATAAAAACTTGTTTGACCGTCCATATTTATCAATATACTAATATAATGAAGTAGAATTCATATCAATTCCAAGTTTAACATATAATAAAACATATTTGTTATTTAATAATAAAAAAATCAGCCATACTGCTGAACTATCCGGATCATATCTCGTAAACCACCTACAAACATATAACTAATTAATTAAATTAATTAGTTTCACAATTTAAAAAGTCAGCACTTTTCTTTTTCATTCTTTTGCAAAAAGTAAAGTCGGTAGAAACGCCAAATTTAATTTAGCAAAGAAGGAGGGTTTCCTTGCAATTTAAGATGAACGTAGCTTCTACCCCTTTCGCATTTTGGATTTGTTCGACGAGAGAAGAAGAAGAAGAAGGCCGCTAAAATAACAAAAAGAACCTCATTCACTCCCTTGGAAACCCTAAATTCTCCCCCAAATAAATTGTTCAATAAAGTTCTCGACTCCGAGCTGTTTAGAGTTGTTCGAGGGTATCTCTGCGAGAAAAAAAAAATCAGGTTTCTTTCCCGATTAATTGATGGATACTTTTCTTCTTATGCACCTTTTTGTCTTCATCTAGAAAAATGATGCGTAAATTGTATTGCTGCTTCATTTCGATTGCAAGCTGTGACTTTTGCTTGTGGCGATTGTATTAAGACGTTTTTATTTGTTAAACGCAATGTCTTCGTTTCGATTGCAAACTTCTCTAGGGTTGATGAGTTATTAGCATAATTGTGTTGCATATCAACTAAATTCCTTGTTATTAGTCATTTAAAAATATATCTTAGTGGGTTTGTGTTCAAGAGGATATAGCTTTTGTTTACAAAGGGAGAATGATGTGGTGGTACGAGGTCGAAATCATATTTGATAGATTATAACGTTGCAGAATTTGTGAGTGTCTGCCATGGTTCAGATTTCAAGCATGAATATGCTTCCTTCCATTAAAAGATATCTGGGTTCTGATTTTAGGTTGTCTTTAATTTCATTTTAGTTTGAAATGGAGGAATTATGCATCCACGATGCATGTGTAAAGATGTAGGCAATGGTTTAGGGGAATCAGTCTAAATTGTGGAAGTGGAGAGATATTGTATACAATCTGGATAGGAAGAATAAGGTTACATCTATGTTCTATCTATGCTTTCTTTTCTAAAAACAGTGTTTAGTTCATTTTTTGAAAGCATGGGTGCAATAACACAGTGACATACCGAAAAAAATCTACATATAGATCGAAGCAGTGGATTGTATCAAGAAGTCATGTCCAACATGGTGTTTGTCATGTGCCCAACATGACAGGTTAAAAGAGACGTTCATGCTTTATAATTATGCGGAGGGCAGGACAGAGGGAGGGAGAAATGTGTGCAAAAAATGAGTATAACACAAATGAGAATGTTATGATTGACGAGTGGATATACATGATATAAGATAAAAAATGACTGCAAAAGTCATACCTTATTAAAGTTCATTATAAAATTTATTCTATGGAAATTTATTATAAAATTTATTCTATGGAAATAGTCAGCCAACTGTATAAAATATTATAATGCCTGTTAAGAAAAATAAACCATTAGGGTATGAAGAAGAGATGAGGCTTTGAGGAAACTGCAGAGTATAGCTTTAGTTGTGATATAAGTAGTGCATGGAGGAATAGTTGAAGAATAAGTAGCATATTGAGATTAGTTCTTTCACGTTTTTCTTTTTTCTTTCACGTTTTTCTTTTGAGATCGGTAGTTTTAACCTTATGTGTCAGGTCCTCAGCCCTTTCGTAATTTTTGTAGATCAGATGATATCTGAATTTTCTGAGGTAGTTCTTACTTCTTTTGTCATCTAACAGACGTGATTGAAGACTAGTCATCCTCTTTCTTTTTAAGTTTGTTAAGGGGAGAATTTGTTAGGGGTACAAGAGAGGTTCATTTGGGAAGGGAGAGTGATATAAGAGTTGAGTCAGCCTTTTCGTCTACACAGCAAGAACTTCTGCACAAGAAAAAGAATGAAGGAAGAAAAGGATGTCTAGTTTCTTTGAAAGTTATTGAGACTCTAATACCCCCGTGTAAATTATTTTTGCTCCCTATTTATTAGAATATTGTAAAATATATGAGCTATCATGCAACATTCTCTTGCTGAGTGAAGGATTATGCATTAATGTTCAGGGAACTGGCTTTGATATAAGAGACATGTCTAAAAATGTAGAATAATCCATCTTTCTGATACCTTACTGTGGCCTAATACAGGCCATAGAGTACTGGCATTTTCCAGCATGCCAATGAAAAGTTTGTCTAAAAATGTCGACTGGGAAGAACATTCTACCCAAATTTGAGCTCGAGGTTATTGTATAGCAATCAGATGTTTCCGCAGCTCTCCTCATCTCCAAGGTGATAGCTGATAGGAAACTTATCATTTTAAAAATAATTTATTGTGATGACAACTTTTAAAACAGACAAATTCTACGTCTTTTATAGTGTTTGCTGATGCTAGATTCTTAGTAATGGTAGGTTGTCGCTGTCACACCCCAGGTCCGCAGGCCCGTTGGCGCGTGCAAGCCGTGGGACTATAATTTCTCTTGGAAATGTCACTGTCATTCTTCACGTGGGATGTCACATTCACCCCACCGTACAAAGGCGACGTCCTCGTCGCGGCAATGACAATTAGCATATTTCAGTATCATCGCCAGACGATGTGGACTCTAGAGGTGGCTCCTACGGGCTCTAGAGGTGGCTCCCGTCGCATCCACACGGTGTAGCACTTAGCTCCACATAGCACTTAGCTCCACACTTCCGGCTGACAACTGCTCTGATACCATTCGTCACGCCCCGGGTCCGCGGGCCCACTGGCGCGTGCAAGCCGTGGGACTATAATTTCTCTTGGAAATGTCACTGTCATTCTTCACGTGGGATGTCACAGCAGCTACGTGACTCCTAACTAGCAATGCCACCATATCCAATAGGTTGTAAACTCTGTTTACTAATCAGTTAGACCTCTGAGAAAATAAACTAATACTAGCGGACAATGAGAGATAAACATAGATAACTTTTCAATCTATCTTTAGCATTTTGAACAATCTATCGAGGATGTCAAGAGCCACATTATCTACTTGTTGCTTTCATGCTGATCAATTTGATAGTGTGCTCGTTTTTAATGTTTCTTTCAGCTCTCAAGTCAAGATAATGCATTTGTGTTGTGGTTCACTTGCCAATACTGGGGAGTGTTTTCCCCGACTCTTTATATAGTTCGGTGATTTTAGGTCTGTCTAAATGAGTTGCAACGAGGATTTATAAATACAATAGATAAATAAATAAAGAAAAGAAAAAAAAAGAAGATGAGAAATGACTAAGAAAGCGATATGTAGAAAATAAAGGAGAAAGAAGGATTACTTATTTATCAGAAAGATGAAGGGTAAGGGGTTCGCTATTATGGAAGAGGGAGTTAGGATAGCCTCTGCTGGCAGTGGAGGAAAGGAGAGGAGCCAATATGAGTGTCAAGTTCTGGTATTTGTTTTGTTTCAGACTCAGTTTGATTTTTCCATGTTTTATCTGATTTTCTATGTCTGTGAATGTCATTTGAAGATGATTCTTTGAAACAATATTTTCTGTTTTATGTCATTGAAGTCAATCATACACATGTTAATTTCATGATTGAGCTTTCTTAGGTCCATTGTCCTTGCAACAGAGTACGAGATACACGGCAGAGACTAACCAGGGAATATGGCTGTTGATGGCCACGTAAAACCTGTGTTTCATGATAACAGTGATGTCATTGATGACGATGATGCACCTGTAGTTTTCAGAAGAACAAGTGCTGCATCCAAGAAAAATCAGTTAAATTCCGCCTCCAAGAAGCCATCTTCCCAGAAGCCTGAAGAAACTCGAGGAAGGCCTATAGAAAGTCAAAGTGCTTGTAATGGTGAGAGCTCAAGTTTGCACAAGAATAAAGTGACCTCTACTGCTAACGTGTCAACTGAGAAGTCTGGTGCAGTGTGCTCTAATTTTGGTGCTTCAGTACCCAGTCAATCAAATCATTCATCAAGAAACAGATCATCGAGTAGTGGCGCAAAAAGTTTGCATACAAACACTTGTGATGAAGTTGAAGATTCTGATGACTCTGATGATGACAAGCCATTGAGCTCCAGATTTAATACAGCTTCTGTTGCACTTCAGAAAGCATATTCTATAGATCACCAGAAAGTGGCTCAAGGCTCACTGGAAAATAAAGCAAGAGGTGAAGGTGCAGATAAGATGATTTTGGATAAGTCATGCCCCAGAAGTGTAGTTTCTGATGATTCTGACGACGAACAACCCTTGAGTGCCAGATTCTCCTCTCCTTCAGGGGCAGTTCAAAAAAGCAATGAATCTCCTGTTCCTACTTCAACTCCATCACAGAAGATAAAAGCAACATCTTATTATTCAGAAGATGAAAAACCATTGCTTTCCAGACTTTCAAAGTCCAGTGTTGGCACGACTATAAAGAAATTCAAATCTATGAAGAAGCCTTTGGCTACTGATGGCTCTAATAAGACAGAAAGCAGTGATCTGAAGCCTCAAAGAGGTTTAAACAGGAGACCTCTCGGGGATATCAATCATTCAACTGAGTCGTCATCTAAGAAGGCAAAACTGTCAAGTGCCTCTGTTCCTGGAAAAGTTAGAGATGAAGCTGTTGTGAAGAACGAAGAGAAAGATGATGATGACCACATTCCGATTGGACACAGAATCAAAAAAGTCAGTTCCTCCAACAGCCAATCATCCATAAAGAAGGTGGAGAAGACAACTTCTTCATCTTTTAAGAGATACAGCAAGTCATTCAAGAAAGACAGCAAGGCGATGAAAAAGACGATGAAGAAGACAATGAAAAACTCTAAACGCTCAAAATCTATTAAAGTGCCGCCTGGGTCAGATGGAGGACAGAAGTGGATGACCTTAGAGCACAATGGTGTTATTTTCCCCCCTCCATACAAGCCACATGGGGTTAAAATGCTATACAATGGACAGCCAGTTGACTTGACTCCTGAGCAAGAGGAGGTGGGGTTTCAAAGATGTTATAAATGTGTATTACATATTCATCTTCTGTTATTTCCCATTACGTTATTTTCATTTTGTTCAATAGCCCATAAGCTTCATTTGAATCCAGAGGTTAGACTGGTTAGGATTGGAAACTCAAACAGAGGATTTTCTCTATCTTGCATCTTATTTGGATACCTTTTTTGAACTATTCTGAAATATAAATCGAGGCCACAACTTTTGAAATTCCACTCCTCTTCCTAGTTCCTGTCACTTTTATCTCTTTATTTTCCTCACTCTTATACTGCTCCCTCTCTCCATTTTCTTATAGTATGCCAATGGCATCCAAACTGTCATCTAGGACAGAGACTACAGGTTAGGAAGTATATCCTACATAGGACAAAGTCACAGGCAACTGTTAATTGAACTGTATAGACTACCTGCCATATTGCAGTTGGTTGTAGTAAGTTGTATTCTTTTCTTCTGCATTGTTCTAAAAATTTTAGTGTGCAGGTTGCAACAATGTTTGCGGTAATGAAGGACACTGATTATGCCACCAAACCAACATTTATTAAAAACTTTATGATGGATTGGAGGGAAATACTTGGCAAAAAACATATCATTAAGAAATTTGAGCTCTGTGATTTCACTCCGATCTATGAATGGCATCTGAAGGAGAAAGAAAAGAAGAAGCAGATGACCTCAGAAGTAAGTACTACCATCAATTGTATAGCCCTTTGAAGATTTTTGTGGGTTCATTTCAATAAGGAGCGTGATTGAAAATGGTCTATCAGTACGAACATGGTTTGTTCTAACTTAAATGTCTGAATAATATTGTAGATATTCCCTTTTTTCTTAAATTAAAAAAAATGAAGTATCTGTTTAGTAGTCTAGAACACTTGCTTTTTTCGCCAAAGTTCTTGGAATTGTGTTTGGGTGGTCAACTGCATATTTTGATATAGTTAGTTCAACAGTTCTGCATATCTTCAGGAATGCTTATGTTAATGTTTTGTTCTCTTACATGTCATGCTTCAGTATTTTCTCTTTCTTTCCTTGGAACACAAATAAAAATGAAAAGTTCATGATTATGATTCATTTATTTACCGTTCCTACAGTTTTTTATTTGCTTAAAGATAATGATGCTGGTCATATTAGATGTTTCATACTTTTAGTATTTACCTCTTCTTCTGATTTTCATGTTTTTACTCCTGTCTGTGGAATAAAGAAGGAAAAAGGAACAAAAGAAGGTACATGTAGAAACTAATAGGGATATCACAACTCCCTTGTTGCTTAATTCTTACATATTGTTTTCTCTTGTGTTTCCCCTAATACACTGTGAACATATTTTCCTGTAACTATTTTCAATTTAGGGGATTGTTGACTGTAAAGCAAGATTTGTTTGATTTTATTAGTCTAGAATACTTGTACTGACTGTTGAGGTAATCATGATTGTAGACATGTATTAGGTTTACATCATGCAGAAGACGTAGATGACTTAACCTGTGTTGCTTTTATAGGAAAAGAAGGCCTTGAAAGAAGAGAAATTGAAACAAGAGGAGAAGTACATGTGGGCTGTTGTTGATGGAGTGAAGGAGAAGGTTATTTCTGACCTGTGCATGAATACTTGCATTGCTTTTCTTATCTTCCATCTTGTTTTTGATATGTCATTTTAAGTAGAAGTCTAGAAATGTGATATTACATATTTCTAGTTGACAAGGTTATTTTCCTATCGTACGTATCTGCGACCTATTGCCTGTACTGTTCCTTTTCTGATTGCTGGCATGCAAACCTTAGGATCAAATCTGAATTTTATTATGCCATCTTAGTTTGTGTGGATTAGTCGTAGGTGGTCTTTGCGTCATGAAGCAAGGCAAAAGGATAACGTGTCTCATGTGTTCATTTCTTCGTCATGTGTGTGTATATATATTATATATACTAGAAATCTACAACAATAACAAAGCCTTTTTACCAAAGTTCTGGTGTCTGCTACATGAATTCTTATGTTCCATTCATTTCTATTATGGGTCATTTCCTCTTCAAAGTTAACTTATTATCATATCCTTCTTAATTGTGTCTAACCAAGTTCTTTTAGGTCTACCTCTATTCCTCTTCGCTTCATTAACTATAATCTTATCAATTCTCCTAAATATGTAAAAGGACCCATCATGGTCCCACGTTAAGTGCACAGAGGTTCGATCTTGCATGGTTTGCATCTCAGATTGTTCCTGGAGCAAGCTTGGATAATCATGTCTGAATATGGTCAATGTAATGGAGAGGTGGATGATTCTCATCCCTTTTCTTGTGTCAATGTTATATTGAAAATTCTCATGTCTGAAGATGGCTATTGTGTTGAGCAACTGACTCATTGGTGATGCACTTTGTGCCTCTGATTGATTGCTCTTTGAATTCCAATCCCCTAACTCATAAGAGAAGAATATGGAAAAAATAAAAGGGAAAAAAGGAATTGAAAAATTCAACTTCTATCCCAGTTTAAATGATGCCAATGGTAGCCAGTCATCTTTCTTCCTAAATACATACGAATAACATTTGTCGATGCTTGTAACTATGGATGCTAATACTAGTTTCATATGTTGTGTGGGTCCTTTAGTTTCCTCCACTGATGTTTCTAATTAGTTAGTTTGGCCATTTTTACAGGTTGGGAATTTCAGGGTTGAGCCGCCAGGATTATTCCGAGGGCGTGGAGAGCACCCAAAGGTTTCTTGTTTAACATAATTACAGCATCAAACCACATGTTTCTGTAAAATTAGAATGAACATTTGATTGCCAAATTTTGTTAACTAAATCCGCGTTCACTTGTTAGAGAAAGAAGATCCTACATCGCTCTTCTTTAATCATTTCTTTTTTTTTCATTTTCATTTTAGATGGGAAAGCTCAAAAGGCGCATTCGGCCGAGAGATATTACAATCAATATTGGAAAAGATGCTCCAGTTCCAGAATGTCCAATTCCTGGTGAAAGGTGTTGCACAATTTAAATTAGTTAATTGCGATGATGCTTATTCATATAAGGCTTAAATTCTAACTATAAGTTGTAAATCATGTACTTGACTGACGTGTTTAGTTTTTTGGTGTTTTTGCAGGTGGAAAGAAATAAGACATGACAATACCGTTACATGGCTAGCATATTGGAATGATCCTATAAATACCAAAGAGCTTAAGTATGTCTTTCTGGCAGCAAGCAGTTCACTGAAAGGTCAAAGTGACAAAGATAAGTACGAGAAGGCTAGGCTTTTGAAGGTAACAGCAGTCCTTCAGCAACCGCCAATATTTTTTGTGCTTTTGTTTCAACACATTACTCTGAGCCCTAGCCACGGAGTTCATTGACTTTTGAGGAGCTTGTTAGTAGTTTGTGCAAGAAGGGATCAAGGACTAATTCCTGTCTAATTTGAGGTTCACGAATTACTCAAACTGGTCGCAAACTAGTCATGTTAACTTGCTATTTGTTCACAAAATTCTCAAAATTTTCAGGCAAGTTTTTAAGGTTTCAGCTAAAACAAATTCAGGTAATTTAAATTGATAATACTAGGCTTCACAACTCGTGCCTCTTGGGGGCGGATGCTATTCAATGACCACTCCAAGACATTGACAACTTTGTAGCTTGCAGTATAATGTCAATAAAAGACTAATAGTTATTTCCATGAACTGAACTGTTATGCAATTTTTGACCGTCAGGGTCTTTGTCAAACTCATGAATCCTGAATTATTCCCAGACAGAGAATGTATGACTATTATCTATGCATTAGTGACTTTTTTTTCATAGAATTTACTAAAATCTTCAACTGTAAGTCTGTAATTTATATCCTGCATTGGTTGAAAATCTTGGTATGTATAATTTAAGAAGCTTATGTTTTCCCCCTTTTTTCCTCTCCTTTTGCAGGATTACATAGAAGGCATACGTGCAACCTACACGAAGAATTTCACTAGTAAAGATCCTACCAAGAAACAGATTGCCGTGGCCACTTACCTCATTGATAAGTTAGCACTGAGGGCAGGCAATGAAAAAGTAAGTTGATGATATTGGCTTTGCGCACTAACTTTATTTTCCTTTTCTCTTTGTTTTCTGCTACTGGTCTTTGATGGTTTCAGGAATCTATTGCCTTCATCCTGGTTGTACATGCACATTCTCCAAAACATTCATATATGTAAATTTTCAACCTGAGCATAGTGACAACCTGTACTTGCACACCCATCTTTCAGTTTCCCGTAAATATCATAGGTTCAGATTGCTGAATATGGGGCTTTTAAGACATCTTTAACCATTGATTCATACGCATGTTTGGTGATCTACAGTTCATAAATATTGCCGCGCATCAGCATTACCAGAGAATACCAGAAAATTCTCTGGTTTGAAGTGATGCATCAATATGTATTAATCATGAATAGTGTATGATTACTGCTGTTATGATTGGTTGCTGCATGTATGTGAGACATAATTTAACCACGAAACTTGAAGCTTGAAGTTCTTTCTTTGCATTTCTTCTGCTAGCATACATGTGGAGTAAGCTAACAGTTTATGGTCCTTGTTGGTATCTTGATGTAATTCCTTAACCTTTTTCTTATTGACATAATTTCTTAAGCGGTTTTTATCTGTCTATATAACTGGTTTTTAAAGCATCATTACCGGGTGTAGAATTTTTCTTTTCTTTCAACGGTCCTGTTATCTCCATAATGAAGTGAGTATTTTGTGACTTCTCCATTTCAATAATTCTTTCTGCAACTGCTTAAACATTTATATAAAATTATTTTCCTAAAAAGAATTTGCATAAATTGGTGCTGTTGGGCGGTTGAACTATCACATGTCATCTGTAAGAAATGTTAATAAAAATTCAAGCCGACTTAATAAATATTCATGTATGACATTTTCAACAGGACGATGATGAGGCAGATACTGTTGGTTGCTGCACCTTGAAGGTGGAGAATGTTACGTGTGTTCCTCCAAATAAGTTACAGGTAAGAGAATGACATAACATTTCTATTTCTGGTTGATAGTTAATTTGCTTGAATTTATTTTAAGTTTCGTTTTTCATCCAGTTTGACTTCCTTGGTAAAGACTCGATCAGATATTTCAATACTGTGGAGGTTGAGGTGCCTGTCTATAAAGCAATTGGAGAATTTCAAACTGGTAACTGCACCAAATATATAGTTGTAAGCATTTGATTTATTCTCATAACTTTTATTCTGATTATATATTTTGTGTTCTTTAGCTAGAAAAAGCGACGGCAAAAGAAAGGCTGGTGGTGATGACCTTTTTGACATGTTGGACACGAGTAAACTCAATGCTCATTTAAAGGAACTCATGCCTGGTCTTACTGCAAAAGTCTTCCGTACGTTTAATGCATCTATTACCTTAGATTCCATGGTGAGTATATTTAAGCATTTCTCTAATGTACTTGTTTTCTGTACAACATATCTGCACATCTGTATGTGTGTATTCCTTCTTTGTTTTTTTGCAATGTAATAATTATAGCCTGATTCGAGAGTTTGCCACAGCCTATTTCCTCAATCTTCAGCCAAGCTTGGAATTCTGCACAAAAATAATGCAAATTTCCTTAGCAAATTAATCTTTTTTCTCTCTGTGTTGTTCGAGAGTCACTTATGTTTCTAGAGATATATACCAAGCAAAAGCTTAATTTGTGGGTTTTCTCAAAAGCCAGTTTCTGTTTTAACCTGATTCTGCTCAGATTTTGATTTTCCTGACTGAAATAAGGGAACCTTACAAGAGTTTCATTAATTTAGTTGGATAAAGGAAGCTGGGGAAACTACTACAGAAAAGAAAAGTGCTAGAATAATTTAAGAAACTAAGCTATTAATCTCTCACCTACACGTAAGGAATTTATAAATGAATTTAGGCTTGATGAGTACGGAATAGATAGCATCAACAATGCATCCTAGTGCTTATGCAGCAGACAAGTCTTCATCACTATTCTTGAGGTTGGCTATTGTCACAGTAACAATACTAACAAATATATCTGATATGATATTCTCTTGTGTTGCATGCTATATCTGACTGCTCGTCAGCGCTGTGATAGTCGATCACGGTCTGTTTGAAATTATCGTAGTGTGAAATTGATACTTACATATCAATATAATTATCGTGTATTCATGGAAAGAATCAAATATCATCAAATGAAAGGGTTACCATTCCCTGTTTGTTGAAATATATACCGACCCTATTCTATTTGTTAGTTTGCTATGTTTTCAGTCTCAACATTGTGTTTGTGCATCATGTAGTTATTTGAAGAAATAAAGGAAGGCACCCTACCGGAGAAAATTGCTGTTTATCAGAAAGCTAACAAAGAGGTATCAGCTTCTTTATGTGTGATGTAGAGTTGTTTTAGGGAATGGTTATTATTATTCTCACTAATGGTTTTTTCTGCATCACAGGTTGCAATTATATGCAATCATCAACGCAGTGTCTCAAAGTCTCATGACGCTCAGATGTCAAGATTGAATGAGAAAATAGGCGAGCTAAAGGTTAAATGACAGCTCATTCTTCAACCAAAATTCTCTTCCTACTCAATTCGTTTCATCACTTTCATTATGTTGCTAAATATCTTCTTTTTTTTTCCTGCGGCACAAAAGGAGGAGTTGCAAGTGGATTTGAGTAGGGCCAGGAAAGGGAAGCCTCCACTTAAGGATAAAGATGGGAAACCAAAGAAGAACTTGTCTCCCGAAGTGTAATGAAGTTGATGTTTTTCCCCCAGTTTCTTTTAGTTTGCATCATTCTGCCATCTGAGGCAAGTCAAAATTGCAGGTTAGAGAAGAAGCTTAGTCAGGTAGAGGCAAAGATAGAGAAAATGGAATTGGATAAAACGATCAAAGAGGATTTAAAAACGGTAGCATTAGGCACATCAAAGATCAATTATCTTGATCCAAGAATATCAGTTGCATGGTGCAAGCGTAATGAAGTTCCCATAGAGAAGGTATGATTCTTTTCCTGAAGCTTTACACACAAGTTTTTGTTTTCCTTCTTAATTACTTTTACTTACCCCCAATGTACTTCTAAGCTCTCTTTTGACTAATGTAGTAAAAAAATTTATTATTTCTCCATATTCATTAGATATCTAGAACTCAAAAGGTTAACAGATTAGAATATTGCGATAATTCTGGGACTTAACCTCTCAAGAAAGATACTGTTAAGTTACTACAATTCATTATATTAGAAACCTAAAATCAGATGTTTGACTTTAATGTTGTCTTGCCTTCTTTTTCCTTTCCCACCCTCCATTTGGATGGGCATGACTAACATTATTCCCATTATATTATTATTATTATTATTATTATTATTATTATTATTATTATTGGTGCAGATATTCAACAAGTCCCTTCTTGCAAAATTCACATGGGCCATGGATGTTGAACCGAGCTACAGATTTTAAATTTAACTTGGCTTGAAAGGTTTGCCTCCATTCCAGATGTAGTGGGAGAAAAATTCCCACTTCTCTGCCTCAAATTTATCTCAAAGTGAGAAGGAAATAGAGGCAAATTAGTTCATCTTCTTCTTCTCCCTTTTTTTTGTGGGTGTAACAGTGGAGAATCCTCAGGCATAGCTTACCTCACACACACAGTGCAATCCTCGGCTCCAGGAAACTTTTGTAACTTTATAAACGGACAGTTCGGTTATGTTGATCATTATCGTTAATGCATCGAGCTGTTTTTGAAGTTTATATCTTTTTCTAGCACGGGCTCATTAATTTGAAAGATTTTAATATACTTATTGTTGGTTCATAATCAAGCTAACACCGATCGGAACAGCCATTGAGTTGAAAGATTTTAATATACTTATTGTTGGTTCATAATCAAGCTAACACCGATCGGAACAGCCATTGAGTGTACGACTGCACGCATTCTGGCTCTTTCCCCATCTTATTCACAAATATTGTAGCTTGGTTTTGAATATAGCAAAATTTTTGGCGGCTAGATACATGGATGGATATACGCATGAATTGATTGATGAATCCGTGGAAGAGTTATGCAAGGCAAATACTGAATAATTATCTACCATCGTTGGTGTGAGGATTTTGAGAGTGTAGAGTGGTATGGAGGTACTATTGGGTATTATTGAACTACGGATTCGTTGATATTCTGGATGTATATAATGATGTGGATGTAGATAATTCTCTTTTGTATTTCCTTGTAGCAACTTTAGTTAAAACATTGATATGTTAAAGGTCTCTAGTTGAAAAATTATGACACAAGGCTTACAATTGATATGTTAAAGGTCTCTAGTTGAAAAATTATGGTATTGCTGAAACTGCCAGCATGCTGCTAATTGACTGGTGTCAAGCTATGAATGAAGATACAGGATCACTTTGTATGTTCTGTTATGGGCCTTATGAAATTATCCACGCTTATTTGGTGTCAGAATTTGAATTCAAAGAGTTTGTCCAGATGAACGCCTCAGCTATGCGTTTGCTACGTTCACCTGAACTGGGGACGTGCAAACAAGACGTTATCTTGTATAAATAAGCAAAAATCTGCCACCCGCCAGAGGTTAAAAACCAAAGAAAACGGAGTATCAGTAGCCAAAAAAGGAAATGCCGCATTCATCATCTAACATATCAAGTATCATACTCTTGAGAGCCCAGCTAGCACCAACTTCCTATAAAACAGCAAAGGAAGCATCCAACGCTTAGGTTGGCCAATCCTTTTGCAGTCTTGCTATGTATTGGTCATAGAACTTCGCAGCTCGCTCAAGATCTCCGAGCTCCGTATAACAATCAGCTATTGCGCCATAAGCCTCTGTAGTGCCGGAGTCCTCACCAACTTGTTTTGATAACTCCAAAACCCTAGAGTGGTATTTTATAGCATCCTTGTATTTCCCTTGTCTCTGCAGTGATGCTCCTGAAAGGAATCCGAAGTATATAATGTGTAAGAGAGAGGAGGGTGGCTCTTGGCCGTGGACTTCATTAAGAATCGTTACGAATATCATAAAAATGCAGTAATAAACATGATCGGAATATATATTATGTAGTGTATTTTTTATGCTGATGATTATAGATAAATAAAGTTCATGTCACACGTTTGCATGCTGCAGTTTCCAAATAACAAAGTTGGGGTTCTTCATTTATTAGTGCCACGCAAAAATGTATTCTCACAGTAATAATCCAGTAGGTCACATATAACTTATCTTTCGCCAAATGTCAGATTAACATGAAACTATTTTAGCCCTGACTACTATGGTTTTGAGAATGATATATTCAAATCATTACAAACATACTATTTTACTTGTAATGCAGGTTCGTTTAGGTTTTTTCATATTTAATTGTTCATAACATTCACGAGACCATTGGAATTAGATAGAAGAAACATAGAAGAATGACTGTATACAATTCAAGGGAGGAAGACAGGAAGTTCATTGCTTACCACTGAAGCAGAATAGTCACTTTAAAGAGACAGGAGCATTTCTCATCCTACTAAGGAGAAGTCAACTGATTGACCTCTTTTTTCATTAAAAAAAATGGACAATGAGAAGCCCCCAACCAAAAAAAAAAACCAAAAAAAAATATTTTGGACATTTAATTGTTTTCTCTTGAGATACAATGATATTAAACTGGAAGACATTTTAATGGGTAAATCTGAATCAAATGTACGTATATCTCAGCAATTTCCAAAAGGATACAGAAGATAAACCATATAGGATGCTTTAATTTAAACCCAAGTATCCATTCTGTTAAAAATGTAATCATGATATGACTTGACTATTCAAATATACCAAACTATATATATAAAAACAAAACAGAAGTCTACAAGAGAATGAAACCAAACCTAAGCCTCTTGCTGCCTTCTTTTCCTCGACATGGTCCCCAATATCCTGTGCAAGCTCGAGAGCTGCCTTGAACTCTGGAAAAGCTTTCTCTGGATCTTGATTCCTCAAGTAATTCTTCCCAGTTCTCAGCTTTGTCATTAGTTGTTGTTTTCTAGGATCTACAATAACCTCGGCCTCCGAGACTCTGCCTACAGGTGCATAGCTCAAGTTGGGAGCATAGGATTCTATCTTTGCTTGTCGTCTTAGTGCTGCATTGATTTGGCGTAGCTGATTGTTTAAATGCTTTAATTCACCTCTTCTTTCTCGTGCTAGCACTCCTTTAAATCAGATATACCATGTGAACTTGCAAACATGGTATTTCTCAAAAAATTTACAAAAAAGGACTGACAATAAAAAATATAAACAATGGCATTAGTTCATAGCACAGGATATAATATATATTTCTTTAACCAACTAACTTCGGAAGAAAAGTTATGAAGTTAGTCCTCACTCAGATTAAGCAATCAATAACATCAAATTGATAATCAAAGGAAGCTACAATGTGAGGTAAAACAAGAAATTTGTGATTTCCTTTTGATGCCAGTCAGAACTACCTAGCAGAGTATCAGCTATTACAACCATTTAAATGGCATCAATTTCGTCAGTGTTCGAAAAAGCTTCTTTGGAACTCACTTCAGAACTTTTTGAAGGATAAAAGCTTCAAAACCTCAAAAGAGAAGCTATTTATCCCTTGAAGCATATGCCTCATCACTTAAAAAAATAATTAAAGTGTGTGCTTCCCACTCTCAATGAAGCGTCTCTCTTTTGGAGTACATCTAGACAAGATAAAAGGATATAAATAGACTAAAATTAAAATGCCCCTATCTCTTCATTATCTTTTCCTCAGTCTCTCCTATTTACATCTTACAAGTCTATCCCCCTATTCCCCTCTGAAGGCAATCCATGATGAGAAACAAAATCACCCCATGACATGGAGGAAGAAGGAACAGAATAAATCAACAGATATATACTTATAACATTCTGCGTAGATACTCTTTTTCATGGGTTTCAGATAACCTTGGTGTCTGATACCTCGCGTCATAATATGGACCTCATGTCTTATCTATGAATCATATCTTGAAAATGCACTTTGGAGATGGCCACAGTAACGGAGGAAGTTAGTTTAAAAATTAATACCAAATATGCAATACCGTTGAGATTCCTTCATTCTATCCCAAGAAATGACCTGATGGGATCGCAAAAGGTAAAATTGTGCATAAATTGTTAATGGCTAGCATATTCCAGTTGCCATTTGTCAGTTCTTTCTAACTTGAAGTGGAAAAAAAACATATAAAGCAGTCCCTTCGAATACCTCCAATTGCTGAATCAAAGGAGAAAAATGAAACAATAGTGGAATGAAACAATAGACATATAAATCACACCAGATGATGTAAAGTTACTTACCCCCAACAGCAGCCCCTATGAGGGCTACACCGAGTAATAGAGGCATGCTCATAACAGAGTTATCAGCCTCACATGTTTCTGCCACAGCATCAAGAGGAAGAATGAGCATCAAAGTGTTTGCAAGAACAAATGCCTTCTTGAAGCTGAATGATGCTGTTCTCTGAAGAATTGAGTTTCAATAAAATGGGAAAATAGCAGTTTACCAACAATTATGGAACTAGTAAAAGGAACATGGGGCGGTAAAATTTGATATAGAAAGTATATGGCGTAGTAAAAATGATATAAAAAGTATATGACTTAAACATGAAGCTTAGAATTTAAATCGTTAAGAACATGAATCTTTTTCCAACAGTCAAAATTTAATGATGCAGGCAGGATCCAACAATTGATAAATTTCATCAGTTATGAAATTGAAATATGCAGTGCTTTAAGTGTTATATCTTTTTTTAGTATAACCGTTTGAAGAAGCATTTCATTAAGAAAATAAGTAAATGGAACATAAGAGAGACAAAGCATGTGGATATTATAATGTTGGAAACCAGAAATGTGAAACTAAATATTCCAGTTTAACTTATCCCTGTGAACAGAATATAGATATACAAATCTTGATTAATATACAATGAATAACAATTGGCACTCCCATATCCACCATCTCCAACTCAAAAACTATGACTGTATCCACTCAAAAAATTCGTTATGGGGGTTAAAAGTTTAGATCGGAATCGGAATCACCTAACGCAAGCCTCATCATCTCATTTACCCTAATCTAGTAAATCCAAGCAGGAAAATCTTGAGTTTGCACATAAATCTATATTCATCACAGCAACCACAACACACACTTTATGTGATGGATTGATTCAACTTTTAAGAAACTATTCTAAACAAACCTATTGCTTGATGAGCACACAAGCTCCATAACTCTAAACTAATATGTTTCGTGTTTTCTTACAACAACAACCTTCTTATAGACTTCTCTTGTGTATACAGAAATTTAATTTGCTCAAAAATATGTGTGGATTTCAAGAGACTCACCATCATACCTGGTGATCAGATATGTGTTCAAGTGTGAAAAGCAAAAATCGTGGTAGCTTCCACCGCGGTAGAGTCTCTCCTAACCTGCTCATTTGCAAAATGTTTTCTTTCAATAATCTGACCCCGTTGCATTGCAAGTTGAGGCCTTTATCAGACCAAGCTCTTGTAGAAACAATTGGTGTCTTCATCTTTCTGAACCGAAGAATCTTTACTTCTTTTGGTTACAAGAAAAAATAGCAATAAAAAATTGTTCAGTTAAAAAGTTATGAAATGAAGATAATCAATACATCTAGTTGTCTTCGGATTGCATCTAAATTAAAATTTCTACCTCAAATTTCAATTATGAGCAAAAAAGTAAGACGAAAACTAATGAATAATAACATTGGCATTAAAAAAATTTCGATCTTTACAAAATAAATCCTTTTTACACCTTCCAATTTCTTAAAAACTTACCATTGTGCATCAACATTAAAAAATTTTCAGTAAACTAATTACAAAACTGATAAGTCCTACAAGCTTATTTCTCAACAAAATACACTCAAACCTACCAACTAGCTAATATATCAGTCTCTAAATCTGAAAGCACCGAAAATTTTCATAAACTACCATGATTTCTCCCAAAAAAACCACTCCCATTTCTCTCAGTGTTCAGAATTTCCAAAAGAAGAGAACTTTGAGACTAAACAGTAAAGTAAGTGAACAACTGATATCTCACCGGAGGTACGGTTGCCGCC